CTGCATACAACCATTTCATTAAGCTGAATATTCCTTCTGTGCCAGTGTTTTTCAACCTTGGGCACTTGAAGATATGTGGACTTCAAGTTGACTAGGTTGAGAAACATTGCTTTATGCAGTTGTTCCACCAGGTGGCAATGCAACTTTAAGAAACTGGGTCCTCACTTCAATTTAGCACAGTATTTCTCAATCTTGGACACATGCTGGCTGGGGAATTCTGGGAGTTGAAGTCCACCCATCTTCAACCGGCCAAGGTTGAGAAACACTGATTTAGTGGTCCTAATCTTCCTCTCTAGCTTGGGGAAACCTTTTCCAGGCCATCTTCCCATTTCTGTGTGCTACAAACATGACGTCGCATTGCAGTCAAGTCTTATGATATTTAGGAGGGAACCTGATCCGCTGACGACTAAGCTGCGTTCAGACCACACGCTTAGCTATATCAGATGAAAACCAAGAGCCTGTGTTAGAACAGCCTGCTAAGCTTGGTCAATGATAGCCTTGGCTAATTGTTGGGTTTTTTGTTCCTTGGTGGGTGGTAAAAACCTAGAAAATGGATTAATTTGGCAGCCAAGTTAAGGATCGTGTGTAGAGACAGCCTTGCACAGAATGCAGTCTTTTTATGGTGGTGTTCATATAACACTCTTAACAAGATCAAATTTCGAACCTTGGAGCTTCCTACACAAGATGCAAAGCTGAGTATGTTCAAACCTCAGTTTGTTTTCATTTTTGCTTTCTGGGTTACCTGGATGTGCAAACCTGGAAAATTAATCCATTTGGGATTCAGTTCAAGCGTGTCGTAAAAATCCAACAAGAAGCGACTGTAAAATTCCACAGGGAAGGGGTTGACTTTTATGAGTTGGTTTCATTTCTTTTACAATTCACTGAAAGATCAGAACAAATGGTAGGAAAAGTTGGAAAATCCTGTCCTTTGCTGGTACCACACTGGGTCCTGCAAATTGTATGCAGAAACGTGCAATGAGCAGGTTTAACTTAGCACTGCACAGCCTGGTCTGTAAATCAAGCCTGAATTGTTTCCTTGAACTGTTCTCTTCAGTCATTAAAATATGCCAGCAGTAAATAATAAGATTTCACCCAACATTTCCAATACAGGCAGTCCTCACTTAACGACCATTCGTTTAGTGACCATTTGAAGTAACAATGGTGCTGAACAAAGGGACTTACAACCAGTCCTCGCACTTACAAATGTTGCAGCGCCCCTATGGTCACGTGATCGCGATTTGGGCCCTTGGCAACCAGCTCACACTTACGACAGTTGCAGTGTCCTGGGGTTACACGACCACCATTTGTCACCTTCCCAGCTGGCTTCCGGCAAGCAAAATCAATGGGGAACCGCGTGATTTGCTTAACAACCATGTGATTCACTTAATGGCCGTGGGGATTCACTTAATGACCGCTGCAAAAAAGGTCATAAAACTGGGCGCAACTTGCTTAACAACTGCCCCATTTAACAACAGATTTTCCAGTTCCTATTGTGGTCATTAAGCAAGGACTACCTGTTAGATGGAGTTACTGTCAAAGGGAGCCTGTCAGTACCATCTTTTTTCAGTGCTGATCTTAAGAGATGTAAGATCTAATGGGGAATGTACTGTATGTAAATATGACTGTCCCACTTCAGTCTTCCAGATTCTTGATTCCTCACTTATTAAACAGACATTTATTTTTATTTATTTATTTATTTAACTGATTTGTAAAGCTGCCTATCTCAACAAGCGACTCTGAGCGGTGAACAACAAACAGAGTAAAATCAATTTTTGTATCATTGATACAAAAATTAAAGCCCAGAACCGCCGAGAAAAGCAACACAGTGCACAGCCCTAATACAGCCAGGAGACGGGTGCTTTTGCCCTCTCGGGGCCCCAGGCCTGGGCACAGAACCGCGTCTTCAGGGCCTTACAAGGGGCCAGCAGGGCCGGGGCCTTCCCAATCTCCGGAGGGCCATAATCGCAAAACAAGGTCTCTCGCAGAGTTTCTGGGAGCAGTCATTTCACCCAGCCAGTTTCTATAGCTCCGTGGCCATCATGGCATGTAGCTGCAGTCAGCCTCAGTCTTCCAACTGGAAAATGGAACTTTTCACTGCTGTGTAAACCTACCCTGCAGGTCGAGCCAATGCATCCTCCCCTCCCTCCCTCTCTCCCTCCTTCTCCTTTTTAAAAGGCAAGCTCACGGGTGCCCCCTCTTGGTAGTCCAAACGAAAGCCACCCTGTGGTTCGAATTGCCACCTTAAATTGCCAAATGATTCCCACCCACTTTCTAGCTGCTTGAAACCATCTCCCCAAAGAAGCTGGCTAGATCGCTCTGGGGCAGCAGTAGCAATTCTCCAACGTCCTTTTTAGCAGGGCCCCTTCCTCTTGGACCGTTAGCCTGAATTGTTCAGAGATTGC